TCTCAGTGCTAGGAGTAGCTACTCCTTTGGGAGAATCTAGTTAATTTTGTGTTATGATATGGGGCATTAAAATATGCAAATATAAGGGAATGACTGTAATTCAAGTTTTGTAGATTGACGTTTTGCAGAGTACTTAAAATCTAATAAGCACGTTTTTTAAAAAAAGTACACAGAATCATTACATGTAGTTGTGTGATATAAATCGCACATGTTCTCAGATTTATAGTGATAGCAGTTTTATGGGGAATATTTTTACATCTTCAAAAGAAATCTTAATAATGCATTTTTAAAGAAAGCAGTGTCACTACCAAGCCTTTGGATGATTAACTGGCCTATGATATTTCTTTCATCCAAGCTGGTTTATAAAAGAAAGCAAAAACGACAATAAAAGAAATGTACCAATTTATTCCTTACTAATAAAGTATTGAACATTAGGGGAAAAAGCATGAAATATTGGAATGCAACACAGAGCAATTCCATTATCCACTGCAGTTTTGGGTCATATACTGTATATAAAGAGTAATTACTTCATTGGTTGGAGACCACAATGGAGGAATACAGCATCTGGTGAAGGAGATTTTAAAATAAAATTTTTACCCTATGTCCTCTGCTTTGCAAAACTTTGTCAGCATTCCTGACAGTCCACCTTATTTGAGCCCTTGGTGACCAGGCTGTGGGAGTGGTGGTGGGTTGGGTGGGGGGCAGGAGAAAGCAAGAAAATTCAAAATGCGCTTGATTTTTAGAGAATATTAGCCAATAATCACACATGAACACTGGTATTTTCAAGTATCTACTAAAAAGTATCTTTGTAGATGCCTTAACTGGCATTCTTTTAATGAAGTTCTCATATTTAATGTCCATGTACCACACTGGTGACCAGAAAGCTGGTTGTTTGCATCACATCTTTGTACCTTTGAATCCAGTTTCTGGATTTCATTTTCTTGCTGAGGGTTTTAGCTGTATGATGTGCCTCAAGGCTAGATCAAGCTGTCTAGGAGTTCATCAACATTTTCAAATCTTTTCTTGTTGTTCATGCCACCAAGATTCTGGAGAAGAACCGAAACTGAAGAACGTACAGTTTAATGTGGTGAGAACAGACTCAGAAGATGGCCAGTTACAGTCCTAATCCAAGCTCAGTCAACTTTCTCTGAGCCTCGGTTTCTTCCTCTGCATAGTGGAGAAAAAAACTGTAGGATGGTTGTGAGGATTGGATTGGCTATGCAAAAAGCATTTCACTTTTATTTATATTTTACTTCTTTCTAAAAATTACTTAAGATAGCTTATAAAAATGCAAAAACTGCTGGGTGTGGTGGTGTATACCTGTTAAGCCTAGCACTCAGGAGGCTGAGGCAGGAGGATTTCCATGAGTTCAAGGCCTGCCTGGGTTACATTATCAACAGCAACCTGAACTGAGCAATACCTGTCTCAAAAAAAAAAAAAATTAAAAATAGATTAAAAGTATGACAGTCAGATCATCCTCAGGAAGTTTTGACTCTGTCCATCTTCCTTTAATAATAGGTGAAATTCCCAATACCACAAAAGAAATATTTGACATATCATCGAAGAGTTGGAATCTTACTGGATGGTACAGAGTCAGACTTCCGTTTTCTGAATATTTATATACATTCCTTTCATTTTTTTGTCAACCTAGCAATTTAAAATGTTAGGATTACATTATACAACACATTTACTTCCCACTTTTTACTTCTATTAAAATCACCCATATTTTTGTTGTCATTACACTCTCGGTATTTTCTGATTCCATAATTAATCCCATTCAATATGTTGATGGTATTTTTTTTTTTAGCTTTAATTGAGTTTATTGGTACATTTTAGGGATACAGTAGTTACATTCATTGTTGGGATCTTGACCTCTACATGACAAATCTTGATTCTCATTTTTTCCCCTTACCCCTGCCCTCCCTTCACCCCCGGTATTTTGTTATTATAAGCAAAACAGCAAGGAAAGTTTTTCGGATGTTTATTGAATATAATGGGAATATCATCTTGATACTTGTCATATTTTTTGCAGCCTTTTCCCCTTTATAATTTTTTTTTCTGGTGATGCTAAGAATTGAGCTCAGCGAATCACACATGCATTACATGGGAGCTGTACCCGCGGCCCCAGTCTTTTAAGTTGATGATGACTTTTGACAGAAAGTTTTTAACTTCACGTAACTATTGCTATCACGTATTTTCTTTGTGATTTACTGCTTGCATGTTTAGAAAGTTCTCTCCTATTCCAAGGTTAGTAAAGAAGTTACCTTTATTCGTCTTTTTATACTTTTAAAAAAGCTTTTAAAAATCCATTTAAAATGAACTGGGCCTAGGGCATATGCAATGCCTCCTTCTTTATGATGGTGTTTTATTGATATGACAGTTTCTCAATGCCTCTCTGTTTTTTTTTTTTTGTTTTTTGTTACCAGAGATCAAACTCGGGCCCTTGTGCTTGCGACGCAGGAGGCAGAACCACTGAGCTAAATCCCCAGTCTTGCCTGCCTCTCATTTTAATCACCTATGTACCTGGCTCACCAAATGGCTTCTCAATATTTCTTTCACAAAAAATTTCTTGGGCCAGCTGTGAATAGAGCTCGATGGTCAAGGGCTTGCCTAGCATGCTGGAGATCCCAGCTTCAATCCCTGGCACCTAAAAAAATAAATTTGTAAAAAATAACTTTTTGACTGTAATTACCCATTTAATTTTTCCAAAAGTTTTAGAAACACTTTATCAACTTCTCCCATTTCAATTTACTCTGAATATTAAAATCTGTTTGCCACATATTTGATTGAAAAGGATTTTATTAGTCGATATTGCAACGTATAAATAGCATCTCTTTATTTTTCACATAGATTTTTGCACATTTCTTGTTTAGGTTATGCCTAAGTATTTCATATTCTGTTATTGTGAAAGAAATGTTTTCCATATAATTTTGAACTAGAAAAACCTTATTGTTACGGGACTTTCACTAGCATGCTTCGATTGACCCATTTTTCTTTTTTTGGTGCTGGGGATTGAACCCAGGGCTTTGCCTATCCTAAGCATATACTAATACACACCCCAACCCTCCAGTTTATTTTGCTGCATACATAAGTCATTTGTAAAGATACTTTGCTTCATAGACGCAAGTGAACTTAACTGGTACTTAAAGAGTAAGAAGAGGTATGCAGACTAACTTTGGAGTTACGAAAAGAAAGTGGCAAGAGTCACTAGCTATTCTTTTTTATTTTAAAATGCATAACTGCAGAGATGAAATGAATGCATTGTTTTATTAAATGGAGAGGGAGAAAAGATAAGAAATTGATGCATGCAAGTCTATCAAGGAAGGCAAGGATGACTTTTGGAGATAGTTGGGAATGCTGATTGTTTTCCATACTGTTCTAGGTCTCTAATCTACCTCATTGTCTGACAATGTTTTGGCATAAACAAGATGAATACTACACTTGGTCTTAGGCAAAGGCTGAGAAACGATAAGCAAGATGAATAATGTAGCCAGTGTCTCCCATGGGAATTTTAAAAATGGAGAGGGAGAAAAGATAAGAAATTGATGCATGCAAGTCTATCAAGGAAGGCAAGGATGACTTTTGGAGATAGTTGGGAATGCTGATTGTTTTCCATACTGTTCTAGGTCTCTAATCTACCTGATTGTCTGACAATGTTTTGGCATAAACAAGATGAATACTACACTTGGTCTTAGGCAAAGGCCGAGAAACGATAAGCAAGATGAATAATGTAGCCAGTGTCTCCCATGGGAATTAAATTTAAAATGAAAGTCTAAGTAACTGGTATCTATACTAACGATCAAGCTATAAATCTGGCCTCCATGACCTTTATGGTCCCTGTGTACCTTGCTGTCCTTGGAGGATGCACCCACACCTGTGATTCACTTGCCCACGGTTTCCGGGTGGCACGGTGCCAGCCCTGGCCAAGTGTTCACAGTGCAGAGTGCGTTAGACTCTTCTGCAGTGAAAGTCAGTATGTAAATGTGCAACATGACATTCTTCTAGCTTCCTGGCTGCTTTCAGCGAGCACTGACTGCCACATGAGGTCTCAAGTGTTCTGGCGTAGTATGCAAGTGTTCAAAAGAAGTTAAAAGTAATGAAATTGGATCTACATCTCTGTAGATATTCGAGCTGGCATAGAAGGGAGTCATGGAATGAAGGTTGGATGGTCTCCACTGCTCAGCCTAGGCATGTGCCTGTGATGCCAGGCTACTAAACAGAATTTGTAATCGTGAAAGGCCACCACTCTCTCTTTTCTCTGGGTCTAAAAATTACAAAATATGCATGTTTGCCCTAGGCTCACACCACCCTGCGAGCTTTACACTCAATCCCTACCCACCCGCTCATTCGCTGGAGCGCGCTAGCTGGCTAAAATGCTACACAAGATTCCCAAGAATTAGGTACAAACAGGGTCAGGTGCTTAATGAGAGCCACGACTGGAGGCATATGCTGCTGAGTAACATGTGAGAGTGTTATTTTTAAGGGGGGATCAAGTTTAGTGTGTGTGATCCACAAAGTATCCAAATAATGGATTCCGGTTGCCTTTGTCACTTTTTGCCATTCTCATAGGTCTTCTCCTTTGCCCTGAAGCATTTTCTGCTGTTGAACTATCCAGAGCCACCATCCAGCTTAGGTCTATGGGTGGTAGGGTCAAGAAGCTGGGTGCGCTAAGTAGAGTCATGGTAGGTCTTGGGTGAGTGCAAATTCCAGATAGAGTAATTCTGAGATCTGTCTCCTCTCACATCCAGCAGCCCGACTCCAAGAAAGTTTCTGTTCATCAGGGTCAAAGCAATAGAACTCAAGGGTCCTGCCCTGCAACCACCTTTATTAGTCACACAGTTTTACGATGCTGGGTCCCCTTAATCTTGACCCTTAATATTGTGAGAAATAGTGTTCTATTTACATGTGAAAATACAAGGAAGGAACAGCCCAAAGAATGGAAGCATTAGAGAGTATCTTTTACTCATGCAGAATTTCTTTTTGTTGTTATTGCATTTTAGGACAGTGAAAAAAAGGGATTTATCAATAAAATCTATGCCATCCAGGAGGTGTGTGTCAGTGTCCAGAACATCCTAGACGAAGTGGCTTCCTTTGGCGAAAGGATAAAGAAGTGAGTGACATTGACACGTGGGACCGCACTTTCTGTGGGGCAGGGTGTCAATTTGTCATTTAGAGGGTGAAGTGCCACCTTGTCTCGGGCAGGAGAGACTCCTGGGTGATCCATTGCTCAGTTTCATCATTATTTCCTTTGTTTCTGCCAGTCTTTGGTGTTATAAAAGTTCTGTCAATTTCCTCCCTGAAATTTAGAGCATATTGGTTGGAAAGAAGTCATCCTTGTAGCTTTGAAGAAATAACACCGTCCTAAATTTTAGCACATTTTTCATAGTGAAAGACTTTGTTCTTAAAAGGAATATGAAATCCTAGAAGAAAAAGAGAATCCAACCTATATGAGGGTTTCAGGTAATTAAGACATTGCATTTTGTTATTGGACTACTTACATTCTCCTTGTTATCCTAAAATTTAAAAAAATTCTCTTATGTGATAACACCCTACAAAAAATGCTCACGTTCTTTCAAATTTAAGTTGATATTGTAAATGTAAACTGTAAATGTAAATTGTAAACTCGTTTTGTCATTTAGAAAATCATCAAATTTTTATAATTAATTAAGAAATTGCGGGCCGGGAATTTAGCTCAGTGGTTCAGTGGCCTGCCTTGCAAGCGCAAAGACCTGAATTCAATACCGGGTACCAAAAAAAAAAAAAAAAAAAAAAAAAAAAACAAAAACTTTCTTTAA